ACAGGGCGAGACTCCGTCTCAAAAAAAGAGAGACTGTCTTTTGGAGGCTTTCAGCCATCTCCATGGTTGACTGAAGGTGGAGTTAGGGGTCCCTCTTCATCCTTCATCTTACATTGGTGATTGACATTTTTGGTGGATTTTTCTCTTGTTGTTTCACATTTTGGCATTTAAAAAAATGCATTGAACATGGTTCTTAAAATTATTGGATTTCCAGCCAGCCACAGTGTCTCATGCCTATAATCGTACCACTTTGGGAGGCCAAGACGGGCGGATTACCTGAGCTCAGGAGTTCAAAACCAGCCTGGGCAACACGGTGAAACCCTGTCTCTACTAAAATACAAAAAATTAGCCAGGCATGGTGGCACACACCCTTGATTCCAGCTACTCTGGAGGCTGAGGCAGGAGAATTGCTTGAACCCGGGAGGCGGAAGATGCAGTGAGCAGAGATCGTGCCACTGCACTCCAGCCTGGGTAACAGAGCCAGACTCCATCTCCAATTAAAACAAAAAATTTTTAGATTTCCTGTATCTGTGTTCTTTGTGTGCTAGACATGAAAAGGCTTCCCTGAGTTCGCTACTTGCGGGGCAGCCCCAGCTCTGACCCACCCCTCCCTGCCTGCCTATAACTGAAAGGTATGTGAGATGGGCCTCAATCAAGTTAGAAGTTCGCTTTGCCAAAGTGAAGGACATACCTGGGAAAAAGGACCACAGATCCACAGGAACAATCTGTGGTTCTTGCCCTTTTCGGAAGATGATTTTGAGGCCTTCGATATTTAAAAGAGAAAAGTGGGCTGGAGGAGAAAGAGGGTATGGTCACATGACTGGATACACATTTGCAAGAGGTAAGGAAAAGGAACAGGGAGGGAGAGTTGGTTATGTAAATCAGCACTTTGATGTAAGAGAAGGTAGGTAACATGGAGATGTTTAACCTTGTCTCATAGCTCTCTGCTTAGGGACAAAGGAAAGGCAGCTTCTTGCATAACTCAGCTTCTGGCTGAGTTTTTTCCTTTTGGCATGGTGAGTGGGGTACCGAGTCTTTCTTTTCTTTTTTTTTTTCTTTTCTTTTTTCTTTTTTTTTTTTTTTTTTTTGAGACGGAGTCTCTCTCTGTCACCCAGGCTGGAGTGCAGTGGTGCGATCTCAGCTCACTGCAAGTTCCACCTTCCGTGTTCATGCCATTCTCCCGCCTCAGCCTCCTGAGTACCTGGGATTACAGGTACCCGCCACCACGCCTGGCTAATCTTGTTGTATTTTTAGTAGAGACAGGGTTTCACTGTGTTAGCCAGGATGGTCTCAATCTCCTGACCTCATGATCCGCCCGCCTTGGCCTCCCAAAGTGCTGGGATTACAGGCATGAGCCACCGCACCCGGCCGTGAGTCTTTATTTTCTTTTCACACTCCTCACTCACCACCAGTGAGCTTCTGAGACATCTCCTCCATCAGTCCACTTATTTTTGATCCCGGTAGAATGCAGGTTCTGTTTGGGGAAAGCATCTGCTTTCCAGCCCTGTATCTGGTGCCTGGCTGGGCCTCTGCGTGCGGATAGACAACCCTGTGTTAACTGAGCCACGGGTGTGTGGAACAGTGCACCCCATGTAAGGGAGCTGCCGGAAGGTGGACTAGGGGCTGTGGGGGTGTGTTAACGGGACAGGACCTGGTAGGCTGTGCCTCCTAGGTGCCTCGCCTCATGGCACACTGGCAGATGCTTGTTTGGGTGCTCGGAGCCCAGTTCCCCCTCCCCACTGGACCCTGCTTTCCTTTGGGAGGGTGTCTAGGGCCCATCTCGTGGGCGAGGATGTGACATGCACTCCATCTGACCACAGAGGCCTGGGACGCACAGGAGCTGTGCTTTTGGCCTAGTCTGCTGAGCCTGCCGGTGCCAGGACATAAGACAGGGTGGGGTTCCTTGACCTGCACCTCCTCCCTGTGTCTGAGTCAACTCCTCAGGCTTCCCATCTGTTCTGTGACCTCATCCCCAGGCAGAAGCTGTGGCGTCCCATTCTTGCATCAGGCCGAGAAAGCCCGGGCCTGCAGCGTGGCCTGGGGTCTGCAGGGATTCACCAGGGTGGGATTCACCAGGGCCGCTAAGGAGACAGCACAGCACCAAACCTGCGCTTTCCTCACTCTTCTCTTTAGGCTAGAAATGCTTGAAAAAGACCTGTTTCTGCCCCAACAGCATTTCCCCACTGAGGCCTCCTGACCACAGAGTAGAAGCTGCTGGGATAGGCGAGCCAGGGAAGCCAGGGCGCCTGTTCCTCAGCTGGTGGCCCCAGGTGGGGCGGCCCCTCTGCCCTCCAGAAACAGATCATGTGCCGAGAGCGAGCTCCTGATCTCCGCTCAGTCCCGCAACCTTCCCATGCAAGAGCTCCACAGCTTCTCCTGTGGGGGCTGAGCCAGGGACAGGCAGTAGCATCTGACGACTCCTTCCTGCAAAATCCCCACCCCCTCCGTCAGCAACGCTGTGGACTCTGTGCCCCTGCACCTCCCTTGCCACACCTGGGCACACGGAGAAGGGAGAGCCGGACAGGCGCCCGCCAGGAGGAGCTGCTCTGTAACTGGGAACCTCACTGAGTTTGCAGCAGGGGCCAGAATTGTGGGGAGCCATTCTAGAGACCCCATTTTTTTTTATGGCGCCACAGATTGGAAAGTGGCATGAGGCAGGTTTACCTTCTGGAAAGAGCTTGTGGAGAGGCAGGGAGGAGAATCAAGCCTGTGTCATCAGTAGAAGAAGGGGAAGTAAATGGGTCCATTTTTAGGGAAAGGTAAAATCTCATCTTCTCATTTTCTAAAGAAAAACACTTATTTCATTGTTTTCAAACATTTCAAAGCAACAGAACTCTTTCCAAAGCAAGTTTAGTGGAGCCCTAATAGGCAAGGCCTGTTGCCTCCCCCACCACCACCTTGGAAGGTGGCTGGAGAGAAGAGGACTGAGAATGGCACCCTAACTCTGCATCCTGAGCAAGAGGTAGGGGAGTGCCGGGGAGCACATTCAGGACACCATTCTTAGGCTCATCACCTGTGACTGTCCTCTGGGCTGCTCCCTTTTCTCTAGACTTCACGAAGCGTGTTGTTTTCTTCCTTTGGATTTGCCATCCTTCTTAGAAACCTAAGTCTTGTGGAAGCCCTGCCTGTGGTGGAGTGGTCCTCTGAGTGCCCGCACCGGCAGTCTGTCGTTAAGAGCGGAGGCAGGTGAGGAAGGGGTGGTGCTGCTGCAGAGGGACATCTTTCTGGGGCTCTTTTTTCAGAGAAACCGCCCCCGTTCATGAGGCCACTCAGTTCTATGGAACCATTTTGTTGAAGAACAAAGGTGATATTGAAGTTACACAGATGACACATTTTGGAACCCTAAAGGAAGGAAGAAGTAAAACCATGGTGATCTGGATAGAGTGAGTTTGCCACTGAAACGTTTTCTGTAAAGCTACATTAATGGCTTTTAAACTGTGACGTAATAATTTCTGTAAAACCAACTTTGGTCATTTTTTTTCTTTATGAAGGTCTTTTCAAACTTTTTTACCCCAAAATGTCCTTTTTACTTATATTCGTAAGTGTATTTGCAGTCACCACTTCCTAGATTAAGTTCTGTATTTTACGATAACTGAATATTTTGGTTTTAGAAATCCTGGCTGGGTTCATGGTTAATTTTCTTTTTCCAGGAATAAAGGAGACATTCCTCAAAACTTAGTCAGCTGTAAACTGGCTGGCTGGGATCAATCTAAACAATTCAGATTTCAAATGCTGGATAAAGACCAGACGTGCCCCATAGTATCTTTTGTTTCTGTTTCTGAGAAGGAGAATTCATCAGATGAAAATGTTAATTCATTAAATAGCCACACAAAAAACACAGTCTCTCAGATGTCAGAGAACGGTTTGGTGAACAACAGAGGAATCTCTCCAGGTAGTGGACATTTCGGCTGTCACTGCATGAGGTTGGGCGGGCTGGGGGCCATGGGGTTGTGAGCTCTGGACAGAGGGCAGGCAGCAGGGGCCAGAATACCTGGCAACTGCAGTGCTTTGTGCTCTGAGCTCTTCGGCTTCAGGCCCTTCTCCTCTTGCTGACAAGGTTAGGGAGAGGGACAGAAAGCAGCTTGACCAATACCAAGAGGTGCTTCAGATGGCAGCCAGCTCCTGAGTGCTTCTAAGCAGGGAAAGATTGCTGGGCACGCCGGTGGGGGCCTTCTTTCCCAGCACTTGGATAGTTGTGGTCACAGCCCTTTCCTACTTCCAGCTGCTCTCTCTGTTTATGTTTTTCCAGCCACCATCTGAGACTTTGCCCTGTGTGTGTGTGTGCATCTGTGTGTGTGTGTGTGTGTGTGTGCATCTGTGTGTGTGTCTGTGTGTGTGTGTGTGTGTGTGTGTTTGAGAGAGTCTTCATTTCCACTAAGCATGCCAGCACTGTTAGAGATAATTTACCTTTTGGTCTAACTTTGTATTAAAATTTTTCTTTCCCAGGTGATTATACCTGTAAAGGAGAAAATGGAGAAGAAGACAACATTCTCTCAAGGAAGCAGATGACAGAGCCCGAGCCTGGGGGGCTTGTCCCTCCAGGGGGAAAAACCTTCATTGTGGTCGTATGTGATGGAAAGTAAGGGCCTGGAGGTCTGAAGAAAGCTGCCTTTTTAAGTTTCTCTGATACTTCTGGGTTGGGCGTTATAAAAGGTACTCCTTTGAGG